TACTAGTAAGCCCAATTAAACCTTTGTCATTTGAAATATTATATAAAGCTGCGGTCTTATCTTGTACTTGACTGTCGTAAAGGTATGTAAGGTTATATACTGAGGGTGTATGGAATGCAGCAATAGATGTATCATTGGATAAAGATAATTTTGTTTTAAGAATCCTCCTAAATGAGCCCATGAATTTGTCGCACACTTTGTGTACTTGGAATGTAAGTTGCGTTCTATATATGATTTTTGGTAAGATTACAAGATTATAAATATATATTATCTGTTTATTTGTGAGTACTTTTGAGCGTAAGGCGTGGGTAGCTGTGTGTAAGTCTAGTTGAACTTTGTTTTTGAATGAACTGTTTATTGTTCGACATCGAGATCCAAATGCCAAGGTATCTTATAGATGAATTATACTTGGCCGGTATAAGATTGAGTGCAAATGTCGGGAGTTGAAAGTGCATAGCATTTTGGTTCTTAAATGGTGACAAGAGTGTTGATTTTATCCAATTAACCTGGATAGAATTTAATTCATAGAAGCTGTCGGCTATACAGAGCAGGCTATTAAGAGACTCTTTAGATTGTGACAACTAAAGGGTATCATCCATGTATGCTAGAGTTGGCACGTGTGCTGACAGTGAGTGATGGGTTTCTACATTTCCATGGTTAAATGGCAATGTAACATCCATGTTATACCCAAAAGTTGTATTTTGCACTCGGCATAATAAAGGGTCGAAATAAATGCACCATAAAATTGGTGATAAAATTTCGCCTTGGTCGATGCCAGAAAGAACTGGATAGGTAGGGGTGGTACCATGCATCATTAGAACTTGATTGAATCTAAAGGTGAACAGTGAGGAAATTAATTCAATAAAATTATTGGGCAAGCGTAGTCTGAGAAGAGCTTTATAGAGCATTCCCAGATTGACCCTGTCATAAGCCTTTGACATATCTTGAAAGAGGATCCATAGTTGTTTACGATGGAAGTATGCATCTTTTTTTAATATGATCAAGGATAAATATGAGATCTTTAGTCGACCTATGTGGCAGTCCTGCAAAGTTATATCCTTTCAGAACGTTATGTCTAGATAGAATAGATAGT